GTATACATACATATATATATACAGTATAATAATTTTTTTAATATATACTATATATTCAGTATAATATTATATATATATATATATATATATATTACTGTGCAAAAAATAAGTGAAACACTCCGATAATTAAAATAATTGTCTCTTTTTTATCCATATAATACACAGATTATAAAAGATTTTTATCACGCTGGATTTAAAATATTATTTCAAAATTTAAAAAAACATACTTCATACAAATGTAAGTCAACCCTTACATTTACACTGTAATACACTATCTATACCAATTCTTTGTGCATATACATGGATGCATATATATTTATATATTTTACATATGTATGTTTATATTTACCACTAATATTATCTATCTATCTATCTATCTATCTATCTATCTATCTATCTATCTATCTATCTATATACATATATATATATATATGTATACATACATATATATATACAGTATAATAATTTTTAAATATATACTATATATACAGTATAATATTATATATATATATATTACTGTGCAAAAATAAGTGAAACACTCCGATAATTAAAATAATTGTCTCTTTTTATCCATATAATACACAGATTATAAAAGATTTTTATCACGCTGGATTTAAAATATTATTTCAAAATTTAAAAAAAAATACTTCATACAAATGTAAGTCAACCCTTACATTTAACACTGTATTTTTGTTTTACATAGTTGCCTGTGCAAATAATTTTGTATGCACATGTAAAGATCAAAATGACACATGTTCACTTTTTGCTAAGCTGTGTACATTTTAGTTAAACAATATAACATATTGTATGCGCAAAATTGTGCAGTTAGAGAAAAACTTAAAAAGAAATATGTATGCCAAGATCATCAGAACTTCCGGAAGTTTTAGAAAATCGCACAGTTGAAAAGTGTAATAATGGAAAAGGCTATCAAATCTCTATTCCTCCACCGTAGAAGAAACTATTTATATATGGATGGCCTTTGGTATGACGGCATCTCAATCAAGAAGTAGCCCTCCCCAAAAAATGATATAAGGTGCAAGCAGACATCTAGTCCAGCAAGGTCAGGCGCATCCATCTTTGACCTTTGCAGTTCTAACTAGCCAATGTCGGAATCAATTGCCATACATCTACAGTGCAACGAAATCTGAAAAATGCTGATTTTCATGCCAGAATGCCCAGAAAATTCCGCTGCTTAAAAATATCCCAAGCATTCTCGCTTTTATTCCATAGCTTATATTAATAAGCTATAAATATTCTGGTAAAAAAACATATGGTCTGATGTGACTACACTAGATGTTTTGTGGGTGGTGTGAACTATAATTGGTATATCTGGCGAGCATCTAATATGGCCTTTCTATCCGACCATTAACCATGGTGCGAGACAGTGTTATGGTTTAGGGTGCTTTAGAGGCAGCATCTGGAACAGGCAAAATATTACGCATTGATGGCACTATGGACTCTGACAGATACCAAGCAATTGTGAATGAAAGTGTCCGCACTTCAAAAGTTGGATTTAGGTCGGTGATGAAACTTCCTTCAGGACAATGATCTGAAGCATCAAAAAAAATACGGAAAAGAATGTTTTCGTAAAAATAAATTTCCAGTCTTGGAATGTCCTTCTCAAAGAACTGATCTAAGCACAATTGAAAATCTGTGATTCAAGTGAAAGAAAGCAGAGTATGCAAGAAACCCAGATAAAATCATACAACTGTAGGAAATTTGCCAAGAATAATGGTCAAAAAATTGGCATTCGCTACTTCTTTAAGATTATAGGAAAAGACTGCTTCACATTGTAACCTCAAAAAGAGCAGACACTGAATATTAAATGTAAGGGTTATTTAATTTTTTTTTTAATTTTGAAATATTTTTTTTTATTCAAGATTGATAAAAATGTTTGAAAGCGGTTGCAATTGTTTTAATAAAGATTTTTATAACGAATAGATAGTTTACTTAATATCTGATGATTATCTGGAAAAAAAGAAAAATGTTTTAAATATTATGTAAGGGGATCACTTTCTTTTTCATAACGCAATATATATATATATATATATATATATATATATATATATATATATATGAAAAGTGAATATAAATATAAATAAATATATATATATGTGTATAATTATTTATATATTATATACAGGTACTTATTAGAAAGCGCTCAATATCAGAGATATAGAGCTAACATATCTGGTTGGATAGATGTGAGTTCGTGACCCTGGGTTTCACGCTTTAGCGATCGTCAGAAAGCGTGAAACTCAGGGTCACAAACTCACATCTATCCAACCAAATATATATATATGGGATATATATATATATATATATATATATATATATATATATATATATATATATATATATATTATGGGGATAGAAATAAATAGCCAGAAAATCTATTTCGATATTCTGTTTCTCTTCAGGTCGGAGGCGAAAATGGTTCTCCACAACTTCTATTTCCTTGAACCTCTTAGCATTCTTTGTATCTTTGCTATATTTCCTAATACTTGTTCCTCCCACATTTTCACCAGTTCCTTAGATTATTCACGGTTTTCCAGGAATGATTTCTTTTCTTATACGATAAATAAACATTTCCTCCAAAATAAGAATTATGACATCTCTTTTTGGGGAAAGTTACATCAAATAACTCGTTGATATTGAACCCAAAGACTTTGTGGCATAAAAATAAATCCTAATATAATACCTTTCATTTTACTTTGATTTTTGAAAAGATACTTCCAAGGATCTTTCTGATAAAGTCTTCTGGCTATTGCAGTTTTTGAAGTGAGGTATCTTAGGATAACTTGTTTTTGAAACGAAGCGTTAATATGTTATTCTCTTTAAACCGTCCCTGATACGTTGCTTTTTTTTGTTTTTTTTTTAATGAAAAATATCAAAATGTCTTCCTTACATTAGCGAAATTATTATTTGTTTGGAAGGAGAAATTATGAATAATATTTAGTCAAATCTAGTACATCTTTATCTTAAAAAGGGTTATCATGAATTTTCGAAAACAATTTCCTCGTTTAATTTTTTTTGAAAATCAAAAATTATTTTTTATTATAATAAGCAAATTCTCGATAATAAGCCCCATCAAATTGATAACCTGAAATTGGCGGCTGATATGTAAAAAAAAAAACAACTTTCAATCTGTTGTTAACTGCGACAAATAGTGCCTTGTTAACTTTAACGCCTGCGAACTATACTGTTGACTATTAATAATCTTAGAGACCCATTGATATGTTACATATGCATGGCTTCTGCTAACCTCCAGGAGAGTTACTTGTACATTTTCGGGTTAACATTATAGGTTAGCATGAAGTGGAAAGCCTCTTTTGAATCCCTTACTAAGTCAGCTGCTAAGAAAGTTGGTTTGGAAATCAAAGTTTTCCTTATCCGAGACTGCTTTCCAACCACGGTTAGAGAACCGTGTATGCGCTGCTATTTAACTCTTCGATAAGGAGATATGTCGTATTAATATATTCTCCTAAGTTACTTAGGCGTAAGTGAATGTAACAAACCTAGCTGGAATTGAAACTCGTGTCTATGAATAACATTTCTGAGTCATTTTCCATTACACCTCTCGCATTACCGAGCTTACAGTACCTGGTATTCCCAAGAGGACAACAACCAAGGTCTTAAGCAGCATCGATGTTGCGAAACGTCGGTGATCGTACGGGAACGGGTGATTTGAGATAAAAATCGATGGAACTAAAATAAAGAGGTTATTATTTGACTATGATATCTGATACTACAAGTCTATATCATTTTTCGAGAAAAAACTGAACGTTATTGGATATAATGGCATACACTGAAACTATAGGAAGTTGATCCTATCTTAATTTTATGATTTTAATAATTCATACTAGCATAAGTGTGATACCAATGAAACAACAAGCAGAAACCTGTATTTCTTATGTTTCCACAAACAATTTGAAATAGTGTGATCATACATAGTGACCTAAAGATAAAAAAAGACGACCGAAACTGAAAAGGCAACTGGATTAAATGATCCTGATATCATCTCTCTCTCTCAATCTCTCTCTTTCTCTCTCTCTCTCTCTTTCTATATATATATATATATATATATATATATATGCAGATAGATAGATAGTATGATTATACATTGGGAACGAAAGACAAAAAACAACCACATCTGCAACGGCAACTGTAGGAAATTTTCCTGATATATCTTCTAACATTAAACCAACACAATTTTCTAGTAATATATTGTGAATTAAAATAAATGTCAATTTAATGAATCAGTGTAACTGTTTTTAATGTTAGTGGCATTTTTGCAGTAGAGTGATGCCAGATATAAATTTTAATATATTAGTTTATATATTATATATATATATATATATATATATATATATATATATATATATATATATATATATATATATATATATATATATATATATATATATATATATATATATATATGCGTGTGTTTGTATAGATATATAGATATATTTCGGTATAAGTTTATAAGCAGTAAATTCGACCTTGTCTACCGAAAAAAAGATTCTTTGTGGCCCAGAGGTAAGGCACGTCAGCGTAAATGACGGTTCCGTACAGGTTCGAATCCTGTCAAAGAACGAATATTTTCTATGAAAATTTCTCGGACATTCAGGCCGGTAAATGTTATTTAATACTGTTTATCGTAAACAGAGCATTTGCTTAAATACTTGTATCTATAAATAACAACGTTAAACATAAAAAATGTCTTTAATATATATATATATATATTAAAGAAACAATTTATACAAAGAATTAAATAACGATGATAATGTGAAAAATGGCGAAATCACTTCGTTAACAGGATTTAATGAGAAATACCGTACTATTAATTGCTTGAATAATAAGATCCTTATGCCAAGTAATTTGAAATTGTCGAAAGTACTTGGCATGTGTCATCCATCTGACAACTCCAATATAAGGACTTTATATTTATAGATACAAATATTTAAGTAAAAGCTATATTTATGATAAACAGCATA